AAAATACAGAGAATATTAGAGAAGTTCCCTGATCTGCTCTGATCTTAGCTGATTTCCCAAACAACCAGGAAGTGGCTACCCAGAGCCATTCAGGGAGAAATGAAAAACAAGAGGACTTGTGTAGACAGATTCTGATTTTTAGCAAGAGCACTAGCACTTAGACTTATATACCGCTTCACAGTGCTTTCCAGCCTTCTCTAACCAGTTTACAGAGTCAGCCTCTTGCCCCCAACAATCTGGGTCCTCATTTACCCACTTTGGAAGGATGGAAGGCTGAGTCAGCCTTGAGCCTGGTGAGATTCAAACTGCCGAATTGCAGGCAGCCAGCAGAAGTAGCCTGCAGTACTGCATTCTAACCACTGTGCCACCACGGCTCTTTAGTTAGCAAAAGGAGTTTTCCTCTGGAAGATTTTGTCAGAAGCACAAAGACCTGCTTGATAGAGGAACAGAGGAGAAGAATTCTTCTGCAACTTCTATTTGCCCACCTCCAATAAACAGAATGCTTGTTGGAAATCAGCTGGGAAGATCACAGGTTGCAAGGGTTAGGGTTAGGGTTAAGACTGCAAGATGCTGCAACCATCATAAATGCGAACCAGTTGCCAGGCTCCCAAATTGTGATCAAATGACCACAATGGTGCAATGGTCATAATTCCGAGGATTTTGTCCAAGGCTGTTGTAACTTTGAACTGTCATTAAGTAAATGTCATGCTGCTCCTGTTTGCTGTCTGCTGGACAATGTCTTCTGGCCAGGTTCCATCTTGAACTCCCTGGATGTAGGTCTGTTCATGGTCTCTGCAGATTGAACCTTATTCCGGACTCTGAGGAGTGACTTGTTTCCATTTTCTCCCTCTATTGAATTGAGAGTTACATCTGGGGATGCAAGTCTTGGTGGAGTGGGTCCACAGCTGCTGTCTCCAGTTCTTTTGGATGATCTAAGTTGACCAGCCACTGTGAGAGGGGGGCTGGGCCACCTTTACCGGACAAAAACAGCGTTTACTCCCACCATTGCTGTGAGAGGACAATGAGGTCCCATGAGCTCCATCGAAGTCCGGCATCACGCTCCTTCGGACTGTTATAACATCAAAACTGCCCCCCTGGAAATTGGCCATGGGTCATTCCTCCCCTTGATGTCAGATGTATTCGGGGAACGAACTTCGTGCTCTGCGAGATTCCCCCCTCTCGCAGGTTTGGCCCTCCTCATTATCGAGGGCCTATCTTGATGATGGGTTATGGAACCCTGAGAGATGGCATGCAGCAAAGAAGAGACTGAGGGGTTTTTTAAGTGGGATTTTAAAAAAAAAATTAAGGGGTTCAGGGGAGACCAGGGTGGGTTTGGGGGGTAATCCACCAGGGTCAAGACCAGGCCCTGCAAGGGACTGCAGCACTAGGGATACGGAGTCGGATGTTAGGGAGGGGGTTGGAGCTCAACTTAGGGAGGGCGGTTCCATCAGTACTGTGAGTGGGAGGGGCAGATATGGTGGAAGCAGGGGGCCACATCATGTGTGGGGAGTGCACACTCGCTATCTTCGAACAATTGCGCACTCCGGTCCCCAATGCTTTTCTTGTTCTCCAGGTTGTTCAGATCCTCAGGGCCAGAGCCTTCGGCTGATGTTGTGCAACGCCAGGTCCGTGGTAAATAAAGCCCCCCTCATTTACAATCTTATTCAGGAGGGGGGTGCGGACCTGGTGGGTATTATGGAGACCTGGTTGGGTCTGGAAGGGGGGGTGCCCCTTGTTGAAATGTGCCCACCAGGTTTCCGGGCATTCCATCGGCCAAGGGCTCAGGGCAGGGGCGGTGGGGTGGCGGTTATTATTAATGAAAGTCTCTGTCCAAGGGAGGCCACTGTTCCTCAGATAGCCAGATGTGAGTCCCTCCTTGTGAAGTGGGGTCAGGGGGTGCAGGTGGGCCTGCTGATTACGTACCTGGGTCCCTGCTATGCAACAGCGGCCCTACCCGACCTGCCTGACGTGATAGCCAGGGTAGCAGTTGATACCCCCAGGCTTATGGTTATGGGGGATTTCAACTTACCATTGGTCGGTGAAACGTCTATGGCGGCTCGGGAGTTCATGGCTTCCATGACGGCCTTGGACCTGACCCAGTTAGTTCATGGCCCCACACGGGAGGACACACTCTGGATCTGATTTTTGTCTCTGGTCAGTGGCAGAATGATCTAGAAATAGGGGATTTAGTCATCGAGCCCTTGTCATGGTCTGATCATTCACTCCTCCAACTGGACTTTCAAACTGCTAACCCTCGCCGCAGGGAGACGGAACCGGTTAGATGGTTCCATCCCAGGCACCTGATGGACCCGGATCGGTTCCTGATGGAGCTTGGGCCATACCCTGAGGCTCTGGCTTACGGCTCGACTGAAGAATTAGTGGCGGCCTGGGAGAGGGCGGCCGCTGGGGCTTTGGATCGCATCGTGCCTTTGTGGCCTCTGACCCAGCGCGGTTCTCAATTGGCTCCTTGGTTCTCTGAGGAGCTGAGAGAGATGAAGCGCCGGAAAAGACGCCTGGAGAGCAGTTGGAGGGCCAGCCATTCCGAATCTGACCGAACACTGCTAAGGTCCTATATTAAGACCTACCTAGTGGTGATAAAAGCGGCAAAATATAACTATTTTTCCATTCTTATTGCATCATCAGATAATCGCCCGGCCGCCCTGTTTAGGGTGACCTGCTTCCTCCTCCATCTGGGAGTGCGGGAAGACCCCTTGCAGGGTAGGGCTGAGGATTTTGTACAATATCTGTATGACAAAATTGCTCAGATTCGGGAGGGTTTGGACTCTGACTGGGTATGTCCGGATGGGGTGATGGAGGTAAGGCCTGTGAATGTTAGCTGGGAGGAGTTTGACCTTGTGACTCCTGAGGACGTGGACAGGGTCCTGGGTAGGTTGAACGCAGCCACATGTTTATTGGACCCATGTCCGTCCTGGTTGGTGCTGGCTTCCCAGGAGGTTACACGAGGCTGGCTCCAGGGGATTGTCAATGCTTCTTTGAGTGAGGGTTTCTTTCCCACCGCCTTGAAAGAGGCGGTGGTGAGGCCCCTCCTTAAGAAGCCTTCTCTGAACCCGGCTGTTTTATCTAATTATTGTCCAGTTTCCAACCTTCGCTTTGTAGCGAAGGTTGTTGAGAGTGTGGTGGCGCGACAGCTTCCCCAGTACCTGGATGAAGCAGACTATTTAGATCCGTTCCAGTCGGGCTTCAGGTCTGGGTACAGCACGGAAACAGCATTGGTCGCATTGGTTGATGATCTCTGGAGGGCTCAGGACAGGGGTTGCTCCTCTGTCCTGGTCCTATGAGATCTCTCAGCTGCTTTTGATACCATCGACCATGGTATCATGCTGCGTCGGTTGGAGGGGTTAGGGGTGGGGGGCACCATGTTATGGTGGTTCTCCTCTTTCCTTTCTGACCATACACAGTCTGTGTTGACAGGGGGGCAGAGATCGACCCCAAGGTGCCTAGTTTGTAGGGTGCCACAGGGGTCGGTCCTCTTGCCCCTCCTGTTCAACATTTATGTGAAGCCGCTGGGTGAGATCATTCATGGCTTCGGGGTGGATTTCCATCAGTACGCTGATGACACTCAGCTGTACATTTCTACCCCGGGCCACCCCAATGATGCCCTTGAAGTGATGACCCGGTGCCTGGAGGCCATACGGATCTGGATGGGGAGAAACAAGCTCAGGTTCAACCCCTCCAAGACTGAGTGGCTGTGGTTCCCGGCTTCCCGTCATAGTCAGTTGGTTCCATCACTGACTATAGGGGGTGAGATCTTGGCCCCCTCAGAGAGGGCTCGCAACTTGGGTGTCCTCCTGGACTCACGGCTGTCTTTAGAAGACCATTTGACGGTTGTGGCCAGGGGGGCTTTTTATCAGGTTCGCCTGATTCATCAGTTGCGTCCCTTTCTGGACCAGGACGCCTTGCGCACGGTCACTCATGCCCTCATCACTTCCCGTCTCGACTACTGTAATGCTCTCTACATGGGGCTCCCCTTGAAGAGCACCCGGAGGCTCCAACTGGTCCAGAATGCGGCCGCACGGGATTATGGGGGCAACTCGGTGCTCCCATGTAACACCACTCCTGCGCGAGGTGCACTGGCTCCCAGTGGTCTTCCTGGTGCGGTTCAAGATGTTGGTTACCACCTTTAAAGCGCTCCATGGCATAGGACCTGGATATCTACGAGACCGCCTTCTGCCTCCAATAGCTTCCCACCGACCAGTACGCTCCCACAGAGAGGGTCTCCTCAGGGTGCCGTCGGTTAGACAGTGTCGACTGATGACCCCCAGGGGGAGAGCCTTCTCTGTGTGGGCACCCGCCCTTTGGAACAAGCTGCCCCCAGAGATTCGTCAGATTTCCGACCTCCGTACCTTTCGCCGCGCCCTTAAAATGCTATTATTCCATCAAGCAGGGCTGGCCTAAATATTTTTTAATGGGTTATTGTATTTTAGATGATCGGCCAAAACTATTTAATAATTTTAAATTGTTTTTAACTTTTATATTGTGGGTTTTATCTTGGCTGTACACCACCCTGAGTCCCCCGGGAGAAGGGCGGTATAAAAATTTAATAAAACTGAAACTGAAACTAAATGGTTGTAAGTCAAGGACCACTTGTATCCTGCTGTTCAACGTAGGAACCTAGATATTTCTTGGCTGTTTGTTCCCTAATTGAACTACTCTCACTCTCAGAGACTTTTCCTAATATTCTCCCTTTTTCTGTCATTTAAGGCCAGTCTTCCTCTGAGATTTGAGAGAACAAGCTTTGATATTTCTCTCCCACCTGTCTTTTAGAAATGCTGAAGTCTCCCCTCAGTTGTCTTTTCTGGAGAGTCTTCAAGCAATCCTTATCCCTGACTATCAAGGCCTTTCAAAACTTTCAAGGTGGCATGATTTAACTGGCTGCTTCTTTAGTCAGTTCGCTCCTGTTGCTTTGCGGACACTCAGCCTCTTGCGAGATTCTTTCAGAAAAGGAAACAAATAAGGAAGGAAGGATAATAAAGCAAAAAGGAAAAAGGAAGTCATGCTTACTTCACTCCTGGTCTTGAGAGAGGTGGCATCTCACCAGTGGAGAGCAAGAAAGTGGCAAATAATATGGAAAGATGGGTCCAGCTGTGCATTCTGAGCTTGGTGGCTGTTGTCCCTGGAAGAGGTGAGTTCAGAAGTGTGACTTGATGGTGCTACTGACGAGAGGTTCTCAGGTCTAATCTCTATCTAGACCCTTAAGTTTCATTCCGTGAGTTCTACGTCTAGTTTGCTTTTTGTTACTATATGTAAAGAGGATTTCCCACGAAGTTATGTTGCTGTAAACATAAAATATCTTAATATTTGATAGGCAGTTTCATGATTTGCTTTTAAAAGCTGTATCCAGAAATTCTTCAGTTCTACATGAGGAAATGTTGGTAATGTGAAGTCAATAGAAATGTCCATTGGTCATCCCATCTGCCTTAATGGCAGTTCAAAGGCCTTAGATTAGGAGGTACAACAAAAGGATTCTGGGCCAATCCTGTACTTGGATTGGAGGGGGGAAGTCTTTGCTGACTGTGACACAGAAGTCAGACAGGTTGGCATGACCAGGATTTTGATAGAAATTACTTATGTTAATGAAAACTTGCTGAGATTTGGAAAGCAATCAAGATTGTTTTTAAAAATGCTCACTCCAAAGTTGAGTTTTACTTTAACTTTACTTTGAAGTTTAAAACTTTTAAGTTTACTTGAAGTTTAAATCTAGCATATTTGTACCTTACGGTGAAATATCAATGCCATTCAGATAAGTCCAATATCACTACAATATCCCACTTTCTGCATCCAACCTAAGTTAAAGGAATCTTCCAGTGAAAAAGTGTGTCTCTTCTTGAGGGTCTTAGAATCAAACCAACATTTGTTCATGAAACAAGCATCTCACTTCAGCAATGGGTTAGGCAGACTCCACATTTCACAGTAAATATTCTGGTCTTGCTTGTATAAAATCCATCTAACTTTAACTGCCCTTGTTGAGTGCAGCTTTGAGTTCTTAAGGGATGCATTTCACTGCCCTGTCTGACTACAAAGGCAGCAGGGAATATGCTTAATGTGTGGATGGCTTTCAATTGGCCGCCCTCTTGATTGTTAGTGATTACATACATTTATGATAGAAGTAGAAGTACTATCATTCTAGTTTAGAGGGTCATTGATTTATAGAGTTTTTTTAACTCTGTTGAAGAAAGTTGAAGTTTCCTTTTTTTTCTATAGCTTTTTTTTTTGTTGCTGTTGCTTGCACTCCCTAATTTTGCTGCTACACCCTTTCCCTTTTTTTTCTAACTGCCTTTCTCTGCTTTTTGTATTTTATATATTTTTTGAAATTTAATGAAGTTTTGATAAAATATATCTGGAGCCCTATTTCAATGGGGGCTGCAAAACCTGACTTTATTTCAACCATAACAGCCCCTGCTTTGGGGCTATGAGGGAAGACAAATGCCAAAAGATATCATGGGTTCCATAACTGAATTAATCAATTTAAATATTTCTGTTCCCATGGTTCTGATAGCTTATTTGCAACACAGAACTCCTATTTAAACCCAATTAAGATGGATAAACTTCAAACGTGACTGGATTCATTCATTTGAAGTGAGAAGCCAGCTGCACTTATTTACTTGTTTTTGTTAGTTTCTCTTCACCAGTTTTTGACACATGTTGAAATCATGTTACATAATCAGGCAATAATAAGAATTTTTGTAGAATTTTGATTATTTATTTATTTATTTATTTATTTATTTATTTATTTATTTATTTATTTATTTATTTATTTATTTGTCATGCATTCTACCAAATCTTTTATGCATGCAACTTTTCTGCAATCACATAAGCTTCTGGGGAGTCCTTGGTGCTCTCTGAACTTGTTTGCTTGCAGATGTTTGATTACCTGGCTAGCCAACATCTCCAGGTAGTGTTACCTAATCGGTACTGTAATGAAACCAAGGATTCCACGCAGTGGTGGGATACAAATAATTTAACAACTGGTTCTCTGTCCTAATGATTTCTCCCAACAACCAGTTCACCAAACTGCTCAGAAAATTAACAACCAGTTCTCCCGAAGTGGTGTGAACTGGCTGAATCCCACCACTGATTCCACGGTTGAATTCTGAGCTACATATATTCTCTTCTATTAATATGAGCTTCACTTGGTTTTCCTGAGCAATAACTGACTAGATAGGAAGCTAAAAGCAAGTCCTCTCACAGAAATGTACACAGAAATGTACAAAAGGCCACTTTCTTCTCATCTGGTTCTGTACTTTTGGAATGTTCAGGTGACGTTTAATTTCCAGACATTTTTGTAATTTTGCAGGATTCAGACTGATTGCCACCCAATATTTGCTCAAATTCAACACCACCTTTGCATTTCTTGTGAGGGTCCATAAAGTCAAAAAACAAAAACAAAGCAAAAACCAGACCATGTGCTCCACAAATTCCATGTGGTTAATTGTTCTCATTAATAGGAAGCTTCTCCTTAATTTTAATCTCTATCTGTTATAATTCCATTTGTTACTTCTTGCCCTGAGGTGTTTTGGAGAATAAATGGACCCCCTCTTTTTGTGGCAGCCTCTCAAATATTGGAAGATGCTATCATGTCACCCCTAGTCCTTCTTTTCATTTAGACTAGACATACACAGTTCCTGCAACCGTTCTTCGTATGTTTTAGCCTCCAGTTCTCTAATCATCATTCTGTCCTTGGCTGGTCTGCAACCATCACTGTCCTTGTTTCTTGTTTGTTATTTTCATAATCATAATCATAAGTTTATTTGTCAAGCATATATAAGATAACAGGTAAAAGTATAAACATAATTTGAATACATGAAAAGAGTAAGTAAAAAGGAATATTAGGACAGGAACGGTAGGCACGCTGTTGCACTTATGCACGTCCCTTACAGACCTCTTAGGAATGGGGTGAAGGTTAGGGTTAAGGTTAGGGTGAGGTCAACAGTAGACAGTTTAAGGTTAAAGTTTTGGGGGTTTGGGGAAGAAACCACAGAGTCAGGTAGTGCATTCCAGACAGAGATGGTTTCAACAGGTTCTGACAAGTTCTGGAGAACCAGTAGCGGAAATTTTGAGTAGTCCAGAGAACCGGTAGTAAAAATTCTGACTGGCCCTGCCCCCATCTATTCTTTGCCTCCCAAGTCCCAGCTGATGGGGAGGAAATGGGGATTTTGCAGTAACCTTCCCCTGGAGTGGGGTGGGAATGGAGATTTTATAGTATCCTTCCCCTGGAGTGGGGTGGGAATGGAGATTTTACAGTATCTTTCCCCTGCCATGCCCAGCAAGCCACACCCACAGAAACGGTAGTAAAAAAATTTGAAACCCACCACTGATTCCAGGCATTGACCACTCTGTTACTGAAGTCATATTTTCTGCAATCAAGTTTGGAGCGGTTTACATTGAGTTTGTATCTATTATTTGTTCGTCTATTGCTGTGGTTGAAGCTGAAGTAGTCATTGACAGGAAGGACATTGTGGCAGATAATTTTATGTACTATGCTTAGGTCAGACTGAAGTCGGCATAGTTCTAAGTTGTCTAAACCCAAAATTTGGAGTCTGGTGGCATAGGGTATTTTATTGCGGTTAGAGGAATGGAGGACTCTTCTCATAAAATATCTCTGGACTCTCTTTATTGTATTTATGTCCGATATGGAGTGCGGGTTCCAGACAGATGAGCTGTATTCAAGAATTGGTCTAGCAAATGTTTTGTATGCTCTAGTTAGTAGTACAACATTACCAGAGAAGAAGCTATGCAAGATTAGATTAACAACTCTTAATGCCTTTTTGGCAATGTTGTTACAGTGCGCTCTGGCACTTGAGTACTCCAAGGTCCTTGACAGTGTGAGGGTCATCTACAAGGTCATGTCCATCTAATTTGTATTTTATGTTTTGATATTTTTTTTTTTGCCAATGTGCAAGACAGAGCATTTGTTGGTTGAGATTTGAAGTTGCCACTTGTTAGACCAATCTGACACATAGTCAAGGTCTTTTTGAAGGATAGTTGCATTGTTGGTGGGGTTGAGTAGTTTAACATCAGCAGCGAAGAGAACACAGTTGCTTTTAATATGATCACAAAGGTGATTTATTTAAAGTATGAAGAGTGCTGGACCTAAAACACTGCCTTGGGGAATACCGCTGTTAACTGGTGCAAGGTTTGATAGAGCACTTTCTATTTTGACCACTTGTCTGTTTGACAGGAAGGCAGCTATCCATTTATCTAGGAGTCCAGAAATGCCATAGTATTTTAGTTTTAGAAATAATTTGTCATATACCACTGAATCAAAAGCTTTACAGAAGTCTACGTAAACTTTGTCTATTGCTTTACCCTGATCGAGATGTGTAGTCCATATGTTTTTGCAACGTAGTAGTTGTAGATTACAGGATATTTTTTTTCTGAAACCAAATTGTTTGTTAGAAAGTATGTTGTTTGTCTCTAGGTGGAGGGTAATAGATTGGTTAATGATTGATTCCATGACTTTGCAGGTGACGCAACATAAAGAGATTGGTCTGTAATTTTCAACTAGGCTAGGCTCTCCCTTTTTGAAGATAGGGATGACCTTGGCTTGTGACCATTGGTAGGGCAAGGTGCTGGTACTGAAAGATTTTTCAAAAATTATGCTTAGAGGTTCTGCGATTTTTTAAGAAGTAGGCACATAGTCCATCAGGTCCAATAGAGAGAGATGGTTTTAGATTGCCTAGTGCCTTTTCAACATTGTCTTCTGTAAAATCAATATGTATAAGTTCATCGTAATCGTTGTAATTGTCTGTAGTACGACTGGGAAATATTGGGTATGTGTTGTTGCTGTTTACAAAGACTGAGCCGAAGAACGTGTTAAAGAGATTGGCTTTAACGGTTTCGTCAATACAGTCTTCATTGTTTGGTCCTTTTAGGGGTGGGATGGATCTCGACTCTTTAAGTTTGTTGTTTACAAAATTATAGAAGGCACGGGTGGATTTTGTGCATAGAAAGTTTTCTTCTTGCTTGATGTGATAATTGGTGCATTCAGTCTTTATTTGTTGGCATAAATTTTTGTAGCAGTTTTTGAAGTTAGCTACATAGTTAGTTTTGTTTTTTCTCCAAAGGTATTTTTTTCTGGATTGTAATTTCCTTATTGTTATTGGTAGCTTATTTTTTCTAGTTTTGTGAGGTATGTAAAGTTTAATGATTTTTTTGACTTTGTGCAAGAAAATGTTATAATGGTCGTCAGCAGTATTACAGCCAGAGAATAGAATTTGCCAATCAAGATATGAGAGTTCATTGTCTATGAGATCATAATTGGCTTTTTTAAAGTTATAACTGGGAATCCCATCATTATGATGATTTTTGAGAGGGTGTAAGTTGAGACAAAAGTCAATCATTCTGTGGTCGCTGTTGGAGAATGGTTCTTTTATTTGTAGTCCATAAATAGAATTTAAACTGTTGCAGAAGATGAGATCAAGGCAGTTGTTGAGTCTAGTGTTGTTAGTTACTAGTTGATCAAGTCCCAGATTAGTTACAGTATTGTACAGGGTTGCATGTATAGGTTCAGTTGTACATTCATTTAGGGTCCAATTAATAAGTGGTAAGTTAAGGTCACCAAGAAAGATTATTGGGCGTGGGCAGGAGGCTGCCCAGGTCAGTAGTGAAGTTAACTTGTTCGCATGTTCAATGTCATAATCTGGGGCTCTGTAACAAAGTAAGAATCAAATGTGGTATTTAAGGACAGGTCGCAGACGATGGTCTCAGGAAGAGCAAGTTCACATGTAACTTGAATATTTTTTAGATGTAGGGACTTTTTGTAGAAGATAGTAACACCACCTCCTCTACGGATTTCACGATCTGACCAGTAAACATGATAGTCTCTTACTGTAGTAATGGAGTCAGGGAGGGACGTATTCAGCCAAGTTTCACAGACAGATAAAATGTTGAATATAGCCGTATTTAGTAAGAGGAGGAATTCAGGTATTTTATTTACAAGGCTTCTTGCATTAAGTAGCTTGCATTTAAGGTCGGTAGTAGTTGTTATTGCAGATGGTGAATGGCATTTGGCCCTGGTTCTTCTTTTGGCTTAAGGGGAAATCAGGTAGAAGCAAAATTCCTGTCAGCCTCAGCTTGCCTGCTTCAGCTGCCATAAGAAACGGGGAGGGATTAGGTATGGAGCAAAGGGGGGGAAGAGAGCAGGAGGGGGTTTGTCTTTGTAGGAGGGGACTTCGTGGGAATCGAAACTGTATTTTCAAAAGGGGACGGCTGACCAACTGTCTCGACATTCCTGATGGATGACGCTGCCAGACGTGTTGCCACCTGACCTTTGGAAGACCTTTGGGTTGGCTGAGGATTTATAAACACGAGGGGGGGAAGAAGCTTAGTAGATACATTTCGCGCGTTTTGCTCACTTCCAGCTTAACTGGGTTGTTAATCATTTCTTATTCAGTAAAAGTACCAAATTCTTCAAAATGCTTGACTTTGGGGTTTTCTTTCCTGGATACTGAAGGAAGCATACCTGACATTAAGCTGGAAGTGAGCAAAACACGCGAAGCATACCTGACAATTCCCCTGATTTCTTTGGTATGGGCACAAATCAGAGAGAGATCAGACAAACGAAAGGCCCTTTTGGTGACTGTGGCTTTTTCTGCAGCCTTCCTGTTCTCTCAGTGGCTTTCCAGAAGCTCTTCTCCACGTGCCAGCAGAATCTCCCTTTCTGTAACCAAGTTCCCAATGCAGGAGCCCCACCCCCACCCCCACCTCTACCCCTATAACTCACTCTAGCCTCACAGCTCTTCTTTCTTTTTCGTTTTGCTCTTCTTGCTTGTTCACAGCTTGATTTAGATCAGGGATAGGTAACCCTTTTCTGTTCAGCGATGCAGGGGTGCTTTTAGTTTTCATCCTCCAGGGTGTCCATGGGGCATGGTCACAAAAGTCAGGATGGCAGCTTGCATGGTGCAACTGAAAACTCCAACTGGCTTCTCTGTGATCAAACAGTCATGTGGGCCTTTTGACTCTTTGCAAAATTATAACAACAGCAACAGTAAGCGAATCCACTCCTGATTGATTCTTGTGAATAAAGCAGGTTCTGCCAAATGTACAGAAAATGGTTCCTGTGGAGGATACAAGTTAGTGGAAAGGCAGCTGATGCCATCTGAGAGGTGCAGGAGCTAAAGAAAAATGTGCGGAGAAGACAATCCTTGACTGACAAATTTCTTCCCCTTTAACCCGGTTCACACCACCTTGAATGAGACAATAATAGTCTCCACCCCCAGCCCTTCTTCTCCTGTGGGCATTGTATTTACCGTCTGGTGTTGGCATCTAAATCTGCTTATATTCCCCCTCCTCCTCCAGCTGCCCTGGATTTGACCGGCAACAACCTGGTTGACGGGATCTGGAAAGCTCCTGCCACTTTGCCCTGCCTGTATGAACCCTCCTCTGACTTCAAGCAGCTCAAGGTGACCTGGAAATTCTCCCAGTCAAGCGAAGCTCCTCGCACCATCTTGCACCACGATGCCTCCGAGGACCACATCTTCTTGACTGCTTTCAGAGACCGAGTCAATGTTGCCAAGAACCCCCCTGGAGATGTGTCTCTCCACATCAAGAAACTTGAAATGACTGATATTGGTTCATTTGTTTGTTTGGTTGAGTTGGAAGCCCAAAACATGAGCATAATCAGCAGAGAAAAGACCGTGCAGCTCAAGGTGGTAAAAGGTAATCAAGCAGTTTGGCTGCAGGGCGTCCTGAGATCCTCACACAAAAACCCACAAGGCCTTTTGCTTCATTTTATAGCGCTCCCTTTTGATTTAGTTCTTTCTTTTCTAGTGTGTTCCTTCTCAAGAACTTCAAAGCTACGATCAGAATTTAGGTGAGAGAAGGCTGCATCCTAACCAGGAAGCTGACTCCTCATCAGTAGCAGAAGCAGCACAGCTCTGCTTTGAATATTCATAATTTTTATTTTCCATGTACAAAGAAAGTGGTACCTGGAGTCAGGAAAGTCCCTCAGCTTCTCTTTGGATTAATAAGGCCCGGGAGCCATATTTCTCTTTTATGGATGAGCTTGTAATTCTTCCTTTGTTTAGCTCTTAATTGCTAGAGGTGCTTTGAGAAACCTTAGCAACTCTTCTGCTTTCTAGTTCCAGTCTCCAAGCCAGTCGTTGAAGCCAGCAGCCAGGATTCTGTCCTGCCCAGAGGGACCCGGATGAGTCTGACCTGCTCAGCCAGCGGATCTCCGCCCATCACCTATCGATGGTACAAGGAGGGGCCTGAGGGGGAAGCCGAGGAACTGCGGAGGGGCCCACTCCTTGCCTTTGAGAGCCTGCAGTTGTCGGATTCCGCCAGATATTTCTGCACAGCAGAAAACAGGCTTAATGTACAAAAGGAGCAGAGCGACTCCTTTCAGCTGACAGTGAAAGGTGAGGAGGCTTCAGAGATGTCACTGCAACAGAGCCATGTCGCATAAAAGATTGCATTCATGGTTAGACGGTCCTTGAAAAACATTTTCCTAGGACTCACATCTTTATTAAGAGGTCCAGGCTCTGAATTCTGTCTATTAATATGGTACAGGTAGTCCTCAACTTACAACCATTCAAAATTACAATGACACTGGAAAAAAGTGTCTGCCACAGAATGGTCATATGATCAAAATTTGGGCGGTTGGCAACCAGCATGGATTTACGATGATCATCATTTGCAACCTTCCCAGCTGGCTTCTGACAAGCAAAGTCAACGGGGAAAACCAAGTTTAACAACCATGGCAAAAATGGTCATAGATTCAGGCATGACATACTGAACAACCACCTTGCTTAGAAATTGTGGTCCCAACTGTGGTTGTAAATCAAGGACTACCTGTAGTGGAAGCACACTTGGGCTAGACTCACTCGTTTGTCCAGGATTTACTTTACCACGAATTATTGGACAAACCATCACTGGCTTGGTTGACATCACATGCTAAGACCTAAAGCATGGTTTAGATGTCATAACAGCTGAGTTCAGCCAGGGGCTAAACCAAACGCAAGCAAAGCACATTGTACCTTTCTATTTTGCGTCTGTGGAGATTCTCAGTCATCCAGGGCCTGGTTGTCCCAAGGGTACTTTTTCAAGAGGCAACTGGACTTTCTGGTTTTTCTTTGAAGATGTTTCACCTCTTCGCTGAGAAGCGAAATGTTTTCAAAGAAAAACCAGAAAGTCCAGTTGCCTTTGAAAAAAGCACCTTTGGGACTTTCTATTTTGTACAAACCACCTGCTGCTTTTCAACCATTCTTTGTTTTCCTACTGGTGCTACAAGTTCAGGCATACATGGAAGCACCAGTTCAGAGTCAGGGTTTGTTTATACCTTGAGGTCTGTAGGTTCCCATCTCAGGAGTTCAAGCAACAGGCATATGTCCCTCTTCCTATTTTTCTTTATAACAGGAAGCAGCAAAGGAGGTTAGTTTAAGAGGCCCCAAATCATCCAGGGAATTTCTCTGGCTCTGAGTGGGCCTGAATCTGGGTCTCTCAGGGCAGGTCTACCATTTTCATCACTCCCACTCTCAGTGGCTGCTCCAACCAATCTTCTCTGGTGACTTTTCCAAAAGTGCCTGAAAGACAATCCTCCGGTATAGGATGCAAGGATGAAATCCAGCAGGTTCTGACAGGTTCTGGAGAACCGGTAGTGGAAATTTTGAGCAGTTCGGAGAACCGGTAGTGGAAATTTTGAGCAGTTCGGAAAATCGGTAGTGGAAATTTTGAGCAGTTCGGAAAATCGGTAGTGAAAATTTTGAATAGTTCAGAGAATCGGCAAATACCCTCTGGCTGGCCCCAAGTGGGGTGGGAATGGAGATTTTGTGGGGAGGGAATGGGGATTATGCAGTATCCTTCCCCTGCCACGTCCACCAAGCCATGCCCACAGAACCGGTAGTAAAAAAAATTGGATTTCACCATTGATAGGATGGCCACCTTTTCTGTGATCTGCAAAGAAGAAAGGAAGGTTGGAGAGGAAGTAGCCTTGTCTGGCTACTAGTCCAACAGAGCATTTACCAGCTATACCAAAACTCATCTCCCATATTAGGAGGATTTTGTATCTTTGAAGATGGGCCATCATTATAGTCTGAAGGGGAAAAAATCAGTAAAATCAGATTATGGGGTTTTGCAGTCAAATCAGGGTGTTTTAATTCTTTCTTCTTCTGGGATCAGGGTTTTGGAAAGGAGGAGGTGAATAAACTCAAGATGATGGCCACACCCACGCAACTGAAGACATAGCTTTTTGTGACAACCCATGGAACAAAGAGACCAATCGTTGGTTGTGTGGTTGCAGCCCCTACCTTGAATGTTTACCCCTCCCCCGCAGGCAGCCATCTTTTGCTATTGGGTCATCTTATTCTTCAAGCAGAATGGTAGGAAAAGCCTTCACCAAACAGTTCATTCCCCGACAGTCTACCCAAGTGCCCCCAGCTCCTGGGAGCCGTGAGGGCGGGACAGTAACTCTGCTGCATTTCCCTTCTAGATGCTTCTGAAGTCTCCACTGCAGGACCAGCTGCTGACTCAGGGGGACACACAACAGGTGGGGCATTGGAGATGTGGACATGGGAGGCAGAGGGCCCTCTGTCCCTGGAAGCCCATGTGGCTCATCTCATGTCACGAATGTAAAGGGCAGGCAGATTTGATCAAGTACTTTGACCCCCAAGGGCACCCCAGTTTCTTCTGTCATTCCTGTCTCTGGCTCTGTAAGGGAGACTCCCATCCATTTGGGAAGGTGCTCAATTAATCTGCATTTCCCATCCTAGCAGAAACAGGGACGCCAGTCTGGAACTTTGTAGCAGGAACTTCCAGGAGGCCTGAAATGACCCATACCAGGACAGGTGAGGGACCACAACCCTTCCCACACCTGGTGTTTCCCCAGCCCCAAGACCACTGGTGGCCAGCTGTACCTGGAAGGTGAGATAGAGCACGGCTTTCCACAGGGAGCGGATTAAAAAAGTCAAGACGCTGGCTACAGTCATGCAATACACACACAAAGGTTTTGGGCTTTGATGACATGGATGTGGATTCCAGCTTGGCTTTGCACTGGGTACAAGGCACAAAGACATCACGAGTGCCACAGTATCATGGCACAATGCTATAATTGGCAATGAGAAATGGACAAGAGGACTCCTTGGCCCTGTGGGAAAGTCAATGGTCCTGTAAATCCATGCCCAGCAGCCGGGGGGGGGGACACACATACCCCCTTGCTGTTCCTGGGGACCAGTAAGAGCGAGACCAGTCTCTTCCTCCCAGCCTGCACAGCATGGATTGTGCTAGAAGGAGCAGCGATCCTCCCCTTCAGGAGTGGAAGTAGAAGCCGCCCCTGTGAAGGGTCAGGGGAGTGGAAGGAACGTGATCCATTGAGGTCCTCCAAAAGTGACCTCCAAGGTACCTGCCGTCGGCAATGAATGTGCAGAAGCGCCCATCATTTGCATGCATGGCTGGCTCTGGACTCCACTGGCTTTGCTCAGCTAAGCCTCAACAATCCTGATGGTTCTCTTCAGCCACCTTCTCGCAGAGTGGGCCATGGTGGTGGAGCAGTTACTTCTCCACCAAAAAGGTTCCTTTGCTCCACCCTTGGAGCAGACCATCACCAGCTCTGTGGGGTGGGGTGGGGGCAAGTTGGCACTGCAGGTGGGGCAGTAGGTACAAAAGCTTCCGTTGTGCAGCCTGGATTTCACTGGCTTTAGTTCCTTCCTGCTGACTGTCAGATCCCTAAAAGTGATACTGCCATTCAAGTGAAGGAAGGGGGGACTTGGATGGCCTGTGTCATCAGATATTTTACAACCTATATCCTGGCGCCAAGGAAGCCTGAGATTCCCTTTACCTGCAGGAATTTATATGATAGCCATGTGGGTTGTCTCACTTTAAAGGGAAGTGGTGGGAATGCATGTGTGTTCGGGTTCTCAAAGGAAATAGTAAAGAAAACATCTTCACACTTGTGTATTGGCTGAAATCCGCATTCTGACCTAAAGGGAGGGGTCTCTACCACTTTAATCCTACTGCTTTGCCTAAGGGCATTCAGATTGTGCTTTAACTGGATGGTTTTCACTTCTGCTTAATAAAAGAATCCTTTTGAACAACTACGTTTCAAGAGTTCGTACACTGACTCAGACTCTCTGGCTTGTCTTCCAGGCGGAATGGTGACTTCAGCCACAACTTTTGGGAACTTTTCAGGACAGCAGAAGAAAAGTAAGAGGAAGGGAAAGTTGGGGACCACCTGTGTCCCTGGAGGTGGGAAGAAGGCAGGGGATGAATCAGAGCAGCGTTTTTCAAACTCAGTCACTTTAAGATGTGGGGACTTCAACTCCCAGAATTCCATATATCTTAACCGTGGCTGGGTTGAAAAACTCTGCCTTAGAGCACTATTGATCTACTACTGGTTGTGAGACCTTATGTGCAATTTTGGTGGCAAACTACTACTACAAACATTCCAGTGGTGAAATCTAAAATTTATTACTACTGGTTCTGTGGGCGTAACTTGGTGGTGGTGGGGGTAATGTGACTGGGTGGGCGTGGCCATTTTTTTTCTTTTAAAACCATTTTTTCTACAACCTCTTCGGCAAAGAGGTTGTAAAAAAATGCTTTCAAAAGGCTCTGACGACCCCAGCTGAGTTGCCTGATCAGCAGAGGCTTTTTTTTTTTTTTTTTACTTTTAAAAGCATTTTTTTGGCCGAAGAGGTTGTAGAAAAAATGCTTTTAAAAGTAAAAATAAAGCCTCTGATGATTGTGCGGCTCAGCTGGGCGGGGGGGGCAGGGATTTTTGGTACCGGTTCTCTGAACCACCTGCCTCCATCGCTACCAGATCAGGCAATCCGGTCTGAACTGGGAGCATTTCACCCCTGGTACAAGGCCCTGTTATTATTAGTAATTTCCAAGTCAAATGGCCGATCAAAAGCAATCCAGTAGACATCAGGATGGTCTAAGAATATGAACAATTAAAATAATTGATGCAAACCAATGGGCCATGTTGGTTTGCATCAATTATCTTAAAGGTGAACGGTCAAGGGAAATTTGATGGAAATCTCCATTTCTGCTGTGTCCCTCTAGCTCCAGGTGCTCAGAAGAAGGCTCTGCCCCTGTATGTCATCATCCTGATCGCTGTGCTCTCTGCAGCTTTTATCCTTATGGTCATCTCTGTGGTACTTTGCAGAAGGAGAACTAAGAGTGGTGAGTTGTGGGATGCTCATTTTCCCAGAGTGGGGATCAGGGGACAATAGTGGAACAACTTGGATTTTAGGAACCAGAAGGCGAGAGCAAATTAGGAACCAGATTGCTAATAGTGAATCTTTGGACAGCACAGTTTAGCATTTATAGACTAAATTTAAGATTGCAAATTCTGAATTCTAGAGAGGAAATCTTGAAGGTAGAAATCTGCTGTTTTGTCCAATCCTGAGACTTAATTTTTGTGTAAGATTCCGAATGTGTGTGGTGGTAGGTAGAAACTAGCTTATAATCATGTGAGCAAATACTTCAAGCAGGCCAAGTCAAATTTCAAAACATACTGTAGAACATAGAATAATAGAGTTGGAAGGGACCTTGGAGGTCTTCTAGGCCAAGCCCCTACTCAAGCAGGAGACCCTATACCTGTGATGGCGAACTATGGCACGCGTGCCACAGGTGGCACGCGGAGCCATATCTGTGGGCACGTGAGTGTTGCTCTAGCTTAGCTCTAGCACGCATGCGTGCATGCGTGCACTGGCCAGCTGATTTTTGGGCCATCCAGGCCCACCGGAAGTTGGGAAATGGGCCGTTTCCGGCCTCCAGAGGGCCTCTGGAGGTTGGGGAAGGCTGTTTTTGCCCTCCCCAGGCTCCAAGAAAGCCCCTGGAGCCTGGGGAGGGCGAAAAAAACGGGCCTACCGGGCCCACTGGTAACCTTTTTGCCGTCGCGTGCCAAATGCAATTCCCCACTTTTGACATATGACGGCAAAAAGGTTAGCCATCACTGCCCTATACCATTTCAGACAAACGACTCTCCAGTCTCTTTTTGAAAGCCTCCAGTGATGGAGCACCCACCACTTCTGACAGCGAGCCATTCCACTAGTTTATTGTTCTCACTGTTAGGAAGTTTCTCTTTAATTGCAGGTTGCTTCTCTCCTTGATTAGTTTCCATCCATTGTTTCTTGTCTTGCTTTCTGGTGCTTTGGAGAATAGACTGACCCCTCTTCTTTATGGCAGCCCCTCAAATACTGGAAGATTGCTGTCATGTCACCCCTGGTCCATCTGACCACAGTGGGAGAGCAACCAGGGTATAATGTTAATAAAACACAAGCATAGCACCAAAACTCTGCTGGGCCTTGATCAATTCAAAACAGGACAGCATAAGAGTTGCCATAGAAGCCATCCATCCTGATCTCCAATTATCCAGTTCTTTTTATTTGTTTTGTTCTTTCTTTCTTTCTTTCTTTCTTTCTTTCTTTCTTTCTTTCTTTCTTTCTTTCTTTCTTAACAGTTTTGTACTTGTTTTTTACTTTAATGTAACTTTGTTTTCAGGAAATAAAAATTCATTAAAATGTTGTTTCTTTTTCAGATAATATTTATGAAGTAACATAGTAAGTAATCATCTCATCCTGGGGTTACAATGGTGAAATGTGTTGATTGGGTATATTCTGGAGAGCTGGGTGTAAAATGACTGACTTGGCGAAGCTATTCCCACTCTGGGTGCAGAACAGAAATACATAGAAGGAGCCTCTCAAATGCCTGGAAAAATAATACTGCCTCCTGAATTGCAAGTCAACCCCTATCCTAATTAAGCAAGCAGAGTTCATACAACACATTAAGGAACAAAGAGAGAAAAAATTAAAACCAGTCAAGCTTTTGCACAACATGAAAATTGCACATTGTGAGATTTAGTTGACCTGAGTTAAGAATGTTGTGCAACGCAGCCACAATGACAGCCACAATGGTGCTCAAAGAGCTGAGTCTTCTAGCACAATCACATGCATGTTCAGTGTGGGGACGTGGCTCTGCGGTTCAGCAATAACCAAAGAGTCACAGATTTTGTTTTTCTGTGCAAGAGATCATTGGAAAATGCAGCTGTCTTATTGCTATTTTTGCAGAAGACATGGCAAGGCAGGCTGCTTTGGGTACGGACTCAAGGAACCGTGAGTCCAGCAGTGGGTCTCAGATGTATCAGTCACTTTAAGAGGTGGGGCTTTCTCAGCGTGCTGGCTGATGAATTCTGGGAGTTGAAGTCCACACCTCTTAAAGTGACTGGGATGCACTGTGCTAGATGCCGCATCCATACTTGCAGTGAACCACAGCATAACCAGCCCTCCCTCCCCAGACTTACTTATTTATTCTGTTTCACCCCTATCTTCTTGCCTTCATCTAACCTCTGGTGTCCGGGTAAGAGAGCCTTATGCTGTCCTTAGCTGAGCCGTCTGCGAGCGAGATGGGCAGTGAAGAAATAGGAAAGCAAGCAAGGCAGGATTTATTGCCGCTGGGCTTTTCTGTCGCTCCAGGATGGGCACAGAGCTCTTAAAAGAAGTTTCCTGAGCTTTCTTGGGTCGATGTGACTGATGTCACTCTGGCTGCCTTAACACCTTTAACCCAGGTCAGCTAAATGCCCAAAATGGGCAGTTACTACTTTGTCCCAAAGCTGAATTGGTTTGCGTATTTGTACATATGTGTGTTTGTGCGTGTGTGTGTTTGTGCATGCCTTAATATATGGTGTGAGCCCTGCCTGTGTGGCTAGTGAATCATTTACATTGTGCAAACCAGAGATTAAGTTGTTCTTGCTGAATTGTGTTGCATGAATCCAGTGAATGGTTTCATTGCAGGCTGTGCAAGGTTTTAAAAATTGCATTTCACCAGTTTTGTTTTTCTTTTTCAAAAGGCTGGATGATTTCAACCCGTAATTTAGTTTGTCATAAGGTTTGACCACTGCTAATTGCACCACATCTGGGACTATTCCCTAAAATCAGTATCTCCACATTTAGCTTTCACTTCGGATCACAATAGTCGACCTCTTGTTACATGGTAAATGCAGCCAGGTTATCACACACCATTATGGGGGCTGGGAGTGATTTGAGAAATCCGTATCTCCCCGCATACACATTTTTTTAAAAAAATTTTTATTGTGAAATATGATAATACAATTCAAACATTTCCGGTTCCGTGGTGTTAATACATATATACATGTTATTTACTTATTATTATTTACATGGTATTGCTTCCTTGCATTATATTTGGTTTGAAAGATATTACATATACTCATACACAATTCTTTATGATCATATATACATGTTATTTACTTATTGTTTACATATTCTTACATCCTTACTCAGTTGCAGTTGATACTACAAGTAGTAATACTCAATTCTATATAATCATTGTTAATTGATTATTAAATTAAACTTTATGCTCCTCGAGCTTCACTTTTTGTTTCTTTTCTCTATCCATTCATACCACATATCCCACACGCTATAATATTCCGTATTCTCTCTAGCGTTGATTTCTAGTGTTAATTTATTCATTTCGGCGCACTCCAATATTTTCCTGATTACATGTTCTTCGGGTGGTAATTTTTTCTCTTTCCAATACTGAGCGAAAGAAATTCTTGCAGCTATCATTATGTGTGTAATTAAGTACCTCTTCTTTTTTGCGTATTCTATTTTCAGGATTCCCAGGAGAAAGATTTTTGGCTCAAAGTCAATATTTTCTCCTATTATTTCCGTAATCCATTTCCAAATCATCCTCCAGAATTTTTTCGCTTCGGTACAGGTCCACCAACAGTGGTAGTAAGTGCCTTGATGATGGCCGCATTTCCAGCAGTTTGGACTCGTATTAGGATAAATTTTGGCGATCCTAGCTGGTGCTAAATGCCACCTATAGAACATATTATATTGATTTTCCTTATAGGTTACCGCCCTAGTCATTTTGAGGTTGCTGTTCCAAATTGAGTCCCATTCATTTAAATTTATGTTTTGTCTGATGTTTTTGGCCCATGCTATCATTGGGTCCTTGACCACCTCCTCTACCATGTCGTAATCCAACAGGTAATTGTATAATTTCGCTAGTATTTTATTATCAGTGCCCATCAAGATCTTATCGAATCCGTTAGTGCCTGTCTCTATGCCAAATTCCTCCTTGTCCTTTTTATAACGGGATTTTATTTGTGCATATGGCCACCAATCTATAGGAATACCTTGTTCTTTCAGTTCTTCAATTGTTTTAAGGTTCCTTCCCCCGTCTAATATCTCTTTATATTTAACTGTTTTTCCCATCTCGGAACTTTTGTGTATTGTTTTCGTCTTATTTCACCCCATGTCAACATTAGTGTATCTCTTATTTTGTGTCTATGGAAGTACGTTCTAGTTCTTTTTCCAGTATCCCAAAGGTAAGCGTGCCAGTCCTTCTGAAGGTCGTGCCCTTCCAAGGTCAGGAGTCTTTTATTTCCCAAGATTGCCCACTCCTTCAACCATACTAAATTTGCTGCTTTGTAGTAAGTCTCCCATATAGGGAGTCCGAAACCACCCCTATCCTTTTTGTCTTGCAAGTTTCTAATCGTTATCCTTGGTTTCTCCCCCCCCCCCACAAATAAATTTTCTAATGATATTATTAAGTTCCGAGAAAATTTTTTTATCTAATTTGACTGGGACAGTTTGAAATAGGTACAGCAACTTGGGTAGTACACTCATCTTTGTTGCTGCAATCCTGCCTAGGAATGATATCTGAAGTTTCCCCCATTTTTCTAAGTCCTGTTTGATATTCCTGATCAGGGGCACATAATTATCTTCCTTAAGGGCCGAGCACCTTGCCGATATCCATACACCCAGATACTTTACTTTCTTAACTATTTGAAGCCCCATTGATTCTTCCAATGCTTTCTTTTGGTCCTCAGTCATATTTTTGGTCAACAATTTAGTTTTGGATTTGTTTAATTTGAAACCTGCTACCTCTCCATACTTACCCAGCTCTTCCAGTATTTTAACGCCTGTTTCCAATGGCTCCTCCATAATTAGTACTACATCATCAGCGAAAGCCTGGGTCTTATATGTCTCCTTTCTAATTGTCAGTCCCGTAATTTGATTGTTATCTCTAATCCTTTTTAGTAGTACTTCTAAAGCTAATATGAACAGAAGTGGTGACAGAGGGCATCCTTGTCTCACCCCCTTTCTAATTTGGAAGGTTTTTGTCAATTCTCCATTTAATAAAATATTAGCCCTTTGTTTTTCATAAATTGTAGTTATCATGTTTACAAAATTTGATCCGAATCCCATCTTATTGATTTGTTGTTTCATGAACTCCCAATTCAGGTTATCAAACGCCTTCTGGGCATCTAAATAGACCAGTGCTATTTCTTTATCTGGGTGTTCCTTGTAATATTCAAGTACATCTAATACCATCCTTGTGTTGTTTCTTATCTGTCTCCCCGGGAGAAATCCGTTTTGGTCACTATGTATTAAATTGTTCCCACATACACATTTTTTATCTCCCCTCTACAGGCTTCTTATTCTTTTCTCTTTCTCCTCTGGTTGCCTGTGCGTGTGTGTGTGTTTGAGAGGAAGAGCAGAAGGCAAGTAGGATCAGGTTGGTTCATACTGGAGAATGTCACTAAGTTACCCTTTGTGCTTTTTAAAAGCAGAACTGTGGGTCTCAAAATAGATCATGTTCTTTGCAAGGCAGCTGATAATTGAGGCAGGCAGGCTAATTGCAGAGCAAGCAAATGGGAATCTTTCTGAGTCAGCCCTACAAAAATTGTGTTGTGCAAAGGCATCTTTCACCAGGCATCTTGCATTTCCTGGGTAAGCGGAACCCCCTGTTTTGCATGCCTAAGTTCACCCTCGTCTGTCTATTTCAGCAACAACAATGCCCTCACCCTGGAGGGCAACGAAGACATCCCAGCCAGTCCAGGAGTCAACGGTACCTGCCTGTATGAGGAACCGAATTCAAGTTTCGGTAACAACTACACTATGGAGCCAACCAAAGCTGTCGAGTACGTGACAATGGGTGAAAAGATGGACAATGAATATGAAATCCTGGTAACTGAGAAGCGGTTGGGGAACTGATGGGCAGCCTGTAACAGGAAAGAGTAGATCTTGCTACATCTCCAAGAGCTGAGTGTTGAAGGACATTCATCTTGGCCCCTCCACATGAACACACGTCAACTTGCCTCCTCTGAGCAGGTCCTCCTCCTCTTTCTCCTCCTCCCAACCGGTGGGTCTCCTGTCTGGCCTCCCAAATGGGCTTCTTTCAGCCCGGCAACTCCACCCACTCAGTAGTGGCCACTTAGACCTTTCTCCCTGCCAAGAGCAGCTGAAGCTGTGGCAGGCAGAGCTGGGCAAACGTTCAGTTCGCCCTTCTCTCATTTGGTGACTCTGCTTTCTCCGTTTCTCCTTCTCGTGAATTTGGCAGGTTTGGTTTTTTGAACAGGAGTTCTTTGAACTAAAAAATGTTGACACTAAAATATGCATGTATTTGATTTTTTTGTTTGCAGTTTGTCTGGAATACACTTTCTGTACTCTTCCATCTGATCAAAAGCACATTTGTCCTAATAAAAAACACTTTTCTGTTATAAACATTTTGAACTGATGAATCACACTGCAAAAGGTCGGGAAATGGTAACTTTGGGATTATTGCTTAAATTAGGAAACTAATGTTTCAAAAAGGGAGAATAAATGAAGTTTATTTTAAACAAGTTTTTTCACCTTCTCTAATTGGCAGACAAATATTGTAGCTTTTTCTGTCCCGTATTCAAATATTTTCCTAGGCTTGTTTTTATTCATTGCCCTACATATTTTAAAGCAAAATAATGTAATATTGACTAAGAGGAAGGAATTGTTTGGCAAAATTCGGTAGATGTGTGGACTTCAACTCCCAGAATTCTTCAGCCAGAATATTGTTTGTAAATCGCCATGATCATAAATAAATAAAGTTAAGAAGCACGGCTCTACAGAAAGTCAAAGCAGGGCTACATGTAGGCCCCTTTCGGATTAATATGAAGTTGGATTCCATAGTGTTGGTATTGACTGAAGCCAAGTCTCTTAGGATTTGGGATTTGATCAGGTGAAAGCAGGTAGCAACCACTGAGCGCTTGAGAAGCACAGTGAACAGGGATGCCCAGGGGGGGTGTTGTAGATGGGTGTGTTATAGGAGTGGCTTCAGCTGCACAATCAAAGCCTGCCCCTTTATTAGAGGTGTTGTGATCAAAGCCTCACTCTGCTGGATATCCATAAAAAGGGGGGCAGGGTTTTGACTGTGCAGCTGAAGCCCCTCTGTTGATTTTTTAAAGCTGCCACTCCCCATGGATGTCCCAGCCTTCCAATTAGTCAGGCCTAGACTGTTGGGTGTCAGTGGCTTGGCAATCACGGGAAGGAGCTTGTGTGGTTGTGCTGAAGTCCTTCAGGAAGAGCTTTCTCCTTTGCCAGGTTCACTGCCCTCCTGCCCATTCTTTTGGAGGAGGAGGAGGAGGTCTCTACAATTAATGGGTCTCTAGTCAGCTGTGCTCTTGTTCTGTCCCCCTTTGCACAGACCTCCATGATAACCAAGAAGGTTGCAAGATGTTTGGAAAAGCTCTGTGTTGAACAAGAGGGAAGAGCTTTGTTCCTAAAGGACAGAGGTTTCCCTGGTGTGAATCCTAAGTGTGAAATGTTAGTGGATGGTTCTCTCCCAAGGGAGCGGGGCTGAAGGCTCCTTTGGACTTGCTTTTCAGGGATGGTGGGCGAGGCTAAAGCAAAAGCTTCATGTGATCCCATTCCATCTACTTTCAATAATCATATTGTTAGAATTTAAATAGAAAAAGAAGAACATAGAAAAGAACATTGGAAGTTAAAAGCCTTTCATTTGCCCTCCCCTCCCTTTAGCAACCTCCGTCCACTGAAGAAACATACAATCCTAACACTTAGACCAGCTCCTCAGTGGCTCCATCAAACTTCTTCTGGATAAGGGAAGACCCCAGACCCCCTCATGATTTTCCTTCCTGGACTTAACACATCCTCTTTGGGACAATCACAACCTAGGGCAGGAACCTCAATCTGCATATCTAAACATCCAAGCCCACTTGTCCTAATAATAGTAGTACAGCTCTAATGTTGCAGGCTACCCTCAACATTGTACATGGTTGAATGGATAAACCCTACCTCTAGCAGCTGCCAGTTCATGTTTATTCTGTGTTGTTTTTGTTAGTTGTGAAGTCGTGTCCGACCCATTATGACCCCATGGACAACGTTCCTCCAGGCCTTCCTGTCCTCTACCATCCTCTGGAGTCCATTTAAGCTCACGCCTACTGCTTCAGTGACTCCATCCAGCCACCTCGTTTATTCTGTATTATATGTTTATTCGTGAACCAGCTCAGAAAATCAGACCACATAAATCCTTCTATCTAATAGTTTAGTTTAGTTTAGTTTAGTTTAGTTTAGTTTAGTTTAGTTTATTGATTAGCCGATAGAATTCCAAGTACAAATTGTTAATAAAATCCTATAGAAAAAATTTAAAATGAAATTGGAGTTAATTTGATACATAGATAAATAAAATAAGATAACATTATATTTCAATATCATCCTTAAAATCTACCCCAATCAGTCCCACATATGCCGATCTTAGCTGAACCATTTTACTCAAGTACTGTGCTGTATTAAATGTTGTTTTCAAATTCTGGCCACACTTAAGGTATATTGTTTTAATATGGGGTTCCCAATGGGTCATTCGTTTAATATATGAACCAAGGGACCTGTCTCTCACCCTCTTATACAAAGAACAATCAAATAGCATGTGAGCTAGGTCTTCTACCTCTGCCCCTCAGCAATTGCAAATATGTTCATTATATGGTGTAGAATGGCATCTCCCATATCTGATCATTGTATCACGCTCTTCGAATCTCACTCGCATAAATATCTCCCTAAGATGTTTTGGCAATTGTAACTTTAGATATCTGTCTATTTGAAAGGCTTTATATTTACTCAGCCATTTCAAGGTACCAGCGTTACTAAATCCCAAAGGTGCTTTTTCAAGAGGCAACTGAACTTTCTTGTTTTTCTTTGAAAACGTTTTACTTCTCAACCAAGAAGCTTCTTCAGCTCTGACTGAATGGAGGGGAATGGAAGGATTTATATTCCTTGCAGACAGCTAGTCATTTGCTTTCTTTTTAGAGAGTCGTTGAGGCCATTTGGAGGTTTATCTGTGTCCTCAGGGTCTCTAAAAGAATGCAACTGCAGCCCCAGCATCGAGTCAGAGCTGAAGAAGCTTCTTGGGTGAGGAGCAAAACATCTTCAAAGAAAAACAAGAAAGTCCAGTTGCTTCTTGAAAAAGCACCTTTGGGACAACCATGACCTGGAGGACTGAGAATCTTCATAAACATTCAGCCTTACTAAGAGTAGCTATATCATTTTATGCCTCTATGGGCATGATTTTTTGAACATCTCTTTTTTTTTAACTTGTTCTCCTGATACACAAGAGACAGGATGTCCACAGCTTCTTACAAAATTTGTCAGTTTAGTGATCCAAGAGGTTTGTAGTTATGATTTTATCTGCTCTAGTAAACATAACTTGGGGAATCTATCATTCTCCATTTTGTTGATTTTGTACTAGTAGTTAGTTATATGTTCTGATTTTAGACAATGTGTGAATTGTACAAATTCCCAATTCAGCTCCAACCGCTGCTGCAGATGTCCTCAAGCTCTACACCCAAAATACACCTCAAATGCTGGGACTATGTTTGTTCTAATACTGTAGTAGAATGTAGACCCCCAAACGACTGCTCCATACAAGAGCATAGGGGTAACCTTAGCTTTATATACTTTAATTAATGGGGCCTTGGATAACTGTGATTCTTTAATTTAAGCAGTAAATTCAAATGAGCTTTTGCTCTAAATGTACTCCAAGATCCAGCCTTGGAAAAAGTTGCATCTAAATGTACAAAGGACCTGTTCAATTGGTTCTTCCATCTAATTGCCATCTATGTCTCTGATGATGTTTTTCAAACACCATAATTTTTTATTTAGATTTACCAATAGTTATTTATTTATTTATTTATTTATTATTCGAATTTCTATACCGCCCTTCTCCTTTCGGACTCAGGGCGGTGAACAGCCAAAATAAAAACATTTATACATAAATACGATTAAAAATAGATTTAAAATAATTAAATTTGGCCCATAGTTTAAAATTTATCAATTTAAAATCCATATCAAAATTTAAAACCAACCATAAAATCATAAAATCAAGAGAGACCGGCTAACTGAAAGAGATGAGTTTTTAGGGCCCGACGAAAGGTCCGGAGGTCGGAGATCACTCGTATCTCTGGGGGTAGATTGTTCCAAAGGGTAGGTGCCACCACAGAGAAGGCTCTCCTCCTGGGGGGTCGCCAGCCGGCATTGTCTAGCCGACGGCACCCTGAGGAGGCCCTCTCTGTGGGAGCGAATTGGCCGGTGGGAGGCTATTGGTGGCAGAAGGCGGTCCTGTAAGTACCCTGGCCCTAAGCCATGGAGCGCTTTAAAGGTGATCACCAACACCTTTAAAGTTAGATAGTTATCCTGGCGGTAGGAGCTGAAACTTCTTAATAGCTTACTCAATCCTACTTGTGAATACGATAATAGGATCATATTATCAGCATAGAGCAAGATGTTACAATATGTATTTAGGATCATAGGCATATGTATCAAGGGAATGGGATCCTTCATTACCCTGGCAAGTCATTGGTATATAAGTTAAATAATAATGGAGCTAAGATACATCCTTGTCTTATCCCTTTATTTGTGTGAATCCTGTTAGTGAGAACACCATTAGCCCCATACTGCACTTTCAAACAGGTACTTGAGTAAAGGGCTTTGATCAGAACCAGCAGTCTAGGGTCTATTTTAAGAGCTATCAGTTTACTCCATGGCACTTCTCTGTTTACCATATCAAATGCGGCTGTGAGATCTATAAAAGCAGTAAACAGGGGTCTCCTCTTATAGACAAATTTGGCAATTAGAGGTTCAATTCAAGTCAGTTACCAATGGTAGATTGGCTTCGTCTAAAACCTGCTTGTTCTTCTGTGAGGATATTGTTTTCCTCTACCCAGATTTCAATTCTATTCAAAAGGAACCTAGCATATATTTTTGCTACAATGTCAATCAGACTGATGGGTCTATAATTACTAGAATCCTCCCCCCCCCCCCTTTTTTTTTGTTTATGGAGGCAATTATTGCCATCTTCCACCCAATTGGTATATTATTTATATGTGTAAAAAGGCCTGCCAGTACTGGATCCCACAATCGGGGCATTTCCTAAATAATTCTGCTAATAGAAAATCCTCTCCTGGGGGCTTTATTATTCTTTAGACTTTTAATGATGGATTGCTAAATCACTGCTTAAAGACAGTTTCTCTACAGGTTCTTTGAAAGCAAACAAACATTGGTAGTAGTTCTCCCAGTCCTCAGCAGAATTCAAATTCTGATCAAATGCAAATCTCCATTCCTTTAGGACTCCTGCTACAGAGTGCCAGAATATGACTTTTGGCAGCCTCCTCTTGTTCTGACCAAATCGATATGGCAAAACTTTTTTTCTTTAATTTTATGACTTTTTTGTATTCTCTTCTTATATGCAGCATTTCAGGTTGTATATGAGGAGTAGAACTCCTATGAGTGAGTCTCATGGCTGCCTTCAATTTCTTTTTCAACAACTGGCATTCCAAATCAAAAACTTTTGGCAGGGGGTTTA